ATAACTAAAGGAAATTCTAATTGGTGTTTTGGTAAACATGTTTCTATTAATTCTGAAACATGGACACTTCTTTTGCTGTTTCTGCCAGTTGTATGCTCCTTTGGGAAAAACCTTTGGACTCAACCACAAGGTTGTTTGTGAAGCTAATCACTGTTGGCAGCAGGAAGAAGCAAAACCATCCTTTGGAATAAAATTTGCAGTCAAGAAGACAGACCCCTATAGGGACCATGCATGGCACACATCTGAAGGCAAAGGGAGACTGCTATGGACTTCAAGACCACCAGTGCCTCCATGTTGCCTTACCTTGTGCAATATTTGGAAGAAAGGAGGAAAGGAAGTAAGAGAGAATGTGGCGGTGAAATTGATTTACCCCTTGATAATTAGAATTTATTGTGTTGGCAGTCTCTCTAGTCCAGCAAAAAGCCATATGGTAGGATGGTTACTGATTTAATAGTTTATACAGGTTCCTTACTTAAGCAATGGGTTGTGTTTGAATGCACAATAGGGTCAATATATTGCATGATTCCCTGAACCATATAATTATGCAATTAATGAAAAAAACTTAAACTGAGTTTATTTTGATAGTGGCAAGATAAACACAATCATAAGCTTTAGAATTCTATCATAAATTATGAGTAAAAATTTACCCTTACTAGATGCAGCAAGTTAAAATAGAGGAGTCTTCTTATTGTGCTCAGTATGGCCAAGAGACTCTCCCTCTTCCTTGTTGGCTTTGAAGAAGCACCTGCCATATTATGAGTTGTGTAGGGCCGTGTAGCTAGCCTCTCTGATCAGCCAGCAAGAAACTAAAGCTCTTAATCTGACAGCCTGCAAGGAACTGGGTGCTGCCAACAACCTCATGCTTGGAAGCAAATCCAACCCCAGTTGAGCCTTAGATGAGACTTAAGTCCCGTCAATACTTTGATTGTAGCCTTTTAAGACTATGAAGAGGTGGACTCACCTCGTCCATGCCTAGCCAAGCAGGCTGTGGGAGAGGAGCTCCTGTTAAGATGGCATCCCATCGTGTGTAAGGCAGTCATGTACATGTGATCATGTATGTCCAGTCACCTTTGTGGCATCAAGTTGTCACCTTGACTGGAATGCAAGTCATAGTCCTTCCCATACTCAAGGAGAGAGAGTACGAATACCAAGAGCGAAGTCACGGGGACCTCCCCATCATCTGTCTGCCACAGTGGGTAACCAACTGGGAAAGAAGAAACAAGTACACATAATACCAAGTAGATTGTGAAAGAGAGTTGAGGAAAGTATTATCCGAAGGCAGAGTAATCAAAATGACTTAATCTCTTCTTCAAACAGGTAGAAAATGCATTGTCTTAAGAGAGAATCAAGTAGCTCTGCCTTATGCACACTTGAGCGACTCAGAGACCTAGATGTCCTCATGTTCCATCTCTGAAGTCATTTCAGTTCTAACCCTGTGACCTTCAACCTGCACTTCCAAGCCTCTCAAGACATTTTGGAATGCTACAGATCCTGGCTGCATCCAAAGAAAGCATTCTGCCAACCACTGTGTTACTATTGACATCTTAATACAACAATATAAGAGAAAAAGAAAATACATGATAGATAAGTCCCTTTGAAAAGTTAAGAGCCAAATCTATTGGAGTATTACTAGCTGATCCAATTTTTCGTTTTCCATTTGAATGTTTATATTTCTAAAGCATGATGTCATTTTAAAAATACACAGAGATATAACATTGTGAACCTCACTTCATACAGGCAAATTTTGGCTAAAAACTATGTTCTTTGTGAGAAACAAATTACATTTCACAGTACCTCCAAGTAATACTGAGTGCCTCCAGAAAATTACTTAGGCACACTCAGGGTTAGAGAGGACTTTCTCAGTCATCTATGTAATCACCCATTTATGGGCAAATATCATCCAGAACATGAACAAATTATCTCATTAATTTCTAAGTAAAAATTTCATAGACTGTCTATTGTTCATCCTTGTGATATCATAAATGTGACTCTTTAAAAATAAAATTATGAATTTAATCCAAATGAGGCAATTCTAAATTGATTGCTTACTAGGAAATTTTTTTTCTTTTTCCTCAGGCAAAAATTAAATTGTAAAATATAAGAAATTTTGAACTTTTTTTTCACAGTTATTTTTGCGCAGACAGACTACACTATGAAATACACTATAAATGTTCTTTAAAACCACTTAAGAATAAGGATTAGAAGTTGTAAACTGAAACTAGAAATTCTTCATCCCTTATAGAGGCCAGAGAGATAAGAAGTTCAAGAAGAAAATGACTTGCAGGGCTGTATGAGATCAGACCATCTAAGAGTCTGGTTTTCAAAACACTAAACACTAAAGCCACATTTTTGGAGCGAGCATCATGTCATAGCTCCTTATTATATAGCTTATTCAAATATTGAATGATGATGTACAACTAATTATAAAAGAAACCACATGCTATAAATCATGTTTTATTTGGATCATAATTCCAGCAAAATACTTCTCTTCCTGTTTTTATTTGTTTTTTACTACTTGTAAGTCCTTACTAAGTATGAAACTTTGAGCTTGAGCCATAAGTGAAAAAAATAATATTAGACATTTGGTTCTTTCCTTAAGAGAAGAATACCTTCTAAAGCCAAATTTCTCAAGTCATGGTCCAATGACAGCCTACATCAGAATAATATGGACAGTATATTGAACATGCAAATATCTGAGATTCGGCTCTGGAGGATTTCTATTTTAGTATGTCTAGGGTAAATTTTGGAATATGCATTTATAATTAGCCTGCGATTGCTATTGCACACTGAAGTTTGAGAACCAACAATCTGGTGACATTGGGGTGATCCAGAGGTCAAAACATACATTCTAAGCTGATATAAGAGAGGGAACAGGCTATACTGTGAATTTAGATTATAGCTATAGCCAACATCAAGTTTCACACTGGAGCATGTTATGATGTAAACTTTCTTTAAAATTAGTTTTAATTTGTGCCCATTGGTAGCAAATTGAGCTTGAGTGTCTTAGAAAAGATTTGGATGAAGGGATCATTTTTTTCTGGGTGCTACCCCATTTGCAATAGCCTAAATAAATAAAATACTTGTGAGTCAACCTAATAAAAGAGGTGAAAACCCTCTATAATAAAAACTACAGAAGTCTAAAGAAATAAATTGAAGAGGACATTAGAAGATGGAAAGATCTTCCATGCTCTTCGATAGGCAGAATTAATTTTGTCAAAATGACCATACTACAAAAAGTGTTATACAGATTTAATGCAATTCCAATCAAAACCCCAATGACATTCCTCATGGAAACATGGAAAGCAATCATGAAATTCATTTGGAAAAACAAGGGACCCAGAATAGCCGAAGCAATTCTGAGCAAGAAGAGTGAGCAGGAGGCATCACAATATCAGACCTTAAACTATACTACAGGACTATAGTAATAAAAACGTCATGGTACTGGCACCAAAACAGACATGTAGACCAAGGAATGGTACAGAATAGAGGACATGGAGACAAACCCAAATAAATACAATTATCTCATACTAGACAAATGTGCTCAAAACATACATTGGAGAAAAGATAGCTTCTTTAACAACTGGTGCTGAGAAAACTGGAAATCCATATGCAGCAAAATGAAATTAAACCTCTCTCCCTCACCCTGCACAAAACTCAGCTCAAAGTGGATCAAGGACCTAGGAATTAGGACAGAGACTGCACCTAATAGGAAAAAAAAGCAGGCCCAAATCTATATCATGTCGGCTTAAAACCTGACATCCTTAACAAGACTCCTAAAGCATAAGATGTAAAATAAAAAATCAATAAATGGGATGGGTTCAAACTAAAAAGCTTCTAAAAAGAAAATTAAAAAGCAAAAGAATTAATAAAGTGAAGAGAAAGCCTACAGAATGGGAGCAAATTTTTACCACACTCACATCAGATAGAGCACTAATCTCCAGCATACATAAAGAACTCAAAAAACTTAACACCAAAAAAAACAAATAACCCAATCAATAAATGGGCTAATGAACAGATACTTCACAGAAGAAGATATACAATTGATCAACAAATTTATGAAAAGATGGTCAACATCTCTAGCATTCTAGAGAAATGCAAATCAAAACTACTCTAAAATTTCATCTCACTCCAGACAAAATGGACATTATCAAAAAATCAAGCAATAATAAGTACTGGCGAGGATGTGGAGAAAAAGGTATACTGATTCATTGCTGGGATTGCAAAATGAAACAATCACTTTGGAAAGCAGTATGCAGATACCTTAGAAAACTTGGAATGGAATCACCATTTGACCCAGCTATCCCACTCCTTGGTCCATACCCAAAGGACTTAAAATCAGCACACTACAGAGATGCAGCCACCTCAATGTTTATAGCAGCTCAATTCACAATAACTAAACTGTGGAAACAGCCTAGATGTTCTTCAATAGATGAATGGATAAGGAAACTGTTGTATATATGCACGATGGAATGCCACTCAGCCTTAAAGAAGAATGAAATTGTGGCATGCTAAGCAATGTAAGCCAATCCCCAAAAACCAAAGGCCAAATGTTTTCTCTGACAATTTGGATGCTGGTCCATAATGGGCAGGGGGCAAGGGAAGAAGAGAGGAACTTTGGATTGAGCAGAGGGGAGGGAGATGAAAGAGAGGAGGGGGAGGGGAGTAGGGAGGACGGTGGAATGATACGGACATTATTACCGCTATGTATGGGTATGAATGCACGAACAGTGTAACTCTATTTCATGTACAACCCGAGAAATGAAAAGTTGTGCTCCATTTGGGTACAAAAATAAAATAAAAATTAATTTTTAAAGAAAGTTGTAGCAAAAAAAACATCTAACATAGGATTTACCCTAAACCATTTTTTGGTGTACAGTTTTATATTGTTATGTGTATTCACACTATAGTGATGCAGACAGCTCTGCAGAATATTTTTAATCTTGTAAAAACTGAAACTCTATATTCTTTAAACAACAGCCCCTCTTTTCCCTCTCCTGCAGCCCCCACCCAAAACCACCATTCTACTTTCTGTTTCTATGATGAAGAGCCCAGGACGGTCCGGTCTGAGAAAGAAGAACAAGAAGAGCTCAGCCCAAACATCAAAATCAGAGGTTCAGTGGAAGGAATTCAATCATCAAGCAGTAAGAAGGAGTAAAGCAATGGATGTAGAAGCAGAGGCAGTTTTCAGAATTGAGTAGATGAGTTGGATGGTCTGGCCTTGGGTAGTGAGTGCCTGGAATGTGGGTGTGCTCACTAAAGCAGAATATGAACTGTAGGTCACTATCAGATATCAGATAAGACTTCCATCTATGATTGGTGAGCAAATGACTATGACTAAAGTAGATGGAAAGCAGGTCAGAGGGTGAAGACTGGGGATTACAAAGGGTATTTGCCACTATCAGGATTTGTTGCTGACTTGAGAAGTGGGCAGATCTGTGATAAAACCCCCTGTGATAGTTCACCAGGAGTGGAGTGGTTGAGTAAGTCCTTGGGGTATTGCAATCTGGGCACAGAAACCATAAGCATTATGTATCAAAGGGCACCATGCCAATGATGACCTAATAGCATTGGGAAAGTAGACTGAGAGAGGTCAAGAACTTAGATGATGGTGTCCCCAAGGCATCAAACTGACCAGTGTGAAGGACCAGACACCACTTCTACTGTGTATGCTGGGGTGGAAGGAAGTATGAAAAAAGTAGAAAGAGCAATAGATTTTGAAGTCAGACAAATCTAACTTCAAAATGTGTTGCCTTTTACATATGGGTGACCTTAAACCACGTAAATATCAATCGTCTCGTGTATACTCCAAATTAGAGCAATATCTGCTCTGGAATTAAGGGTAAATTATGCAATATACTAGCACAATTCCTGGCCTACATGCAGTCAATAAGTGATTGCAGTGATCATAACAATTTGTCTCCTAGCTCAGAGCAGCCTGCAAAGTAGTCTGTGGTCCCCTCTGTTATTCCAAACTGCAGGATAGGAGGTTTTTTGTTGTTGCTGTTTTTCCAGATATTTTTGATATTTAGTTCATAATGTATGTGATGAACTCAAAGACGGAGGTGGGGGTTGGGGCCGAGGGAGAAGGCAGCCAGTCAGCTAGGCAGCCCAGCAGGCCAATAGGTTCATCTTTGTTTTGTTTTAATGGCACAGATCCAAGTCATTAGATTTTTTGTCACACAGAGTCTGGTACTTTGAGATGACTTATCCATACTGTGAATGTGTGTTTAAGTATTGTTAAAATCTATTTTATCATTATTGTATGTTCCCTTACAAGTAAAAACAACAACAGGCTCTGGGGTTGTAGCTCAGCAGAAGAGTGCTCACCCAGCACATGCAAGGCCCTGCGTTCGATCCTCAGCACCACATAAAAATGAACAAATAAGGGCTGGGGTTGTGGCTCAGGGGTAGAGCGCTCGCCTTGCATGTGCCAAACCCCGGGTTCGATCCTAAGCACATAATAAACAAGTGAAATAAAGGTGTTGTGAACAACTACAACTAAAAAATAAATAAATAAATAAAATAAAGGTATTGTGTCCATGTACAACTAAAATAAACAAACAAGTAAACAACAACAAAACCAACCAAACCTCAGGTGTGACTTGAGGCAGTGGGTCCAAAATTGTTAGTAAGATCTGGCTGCTTCTTTCTCATCATTGTTTGTGCCCCATTCCTCTGAGTTAGCTCCATTCTTGAGCAGATTCCGTTTACAGGCAAGAGATGGTTACAACAGCACCAGTCTTTCATCCTCTCACATTTAAACCTAGTGTTGAAAAGAGAACACTGCTTTCCCAGAAATGTCATCCAAAGACTCACTGGTTTTGACTGAATCAAGTGCACAACACTGAACCAATCCTAATCATAGGAAAAATATTTCTGTTTGACTGAGGCTGGACTAGGTACTTCACAAGCTCCTGGAGTGAAGAATAGAGAAGATGTCAGGTGTCCAGGGCAGAAGTACGGACCATGAGAGAAGAGTAAATTCCTTACATAGCTCAAATCAGCAACCACCCAATTCCTCGCTACTTCTGCTACTGTAACTTTTGCAGATTTAAGGTGCTGAACAGTTTAGCTTAAAATACAATAGGGTATTTTGCCTTATGTTTTATGTACCCAACAAGCCCATCATAGCTTTTCAGAACAAAAGGAATTAGTGTAAAAGTGAGTGAGATCTTTATTCCCAGGAACCCAAGCCTTCAGAACCATGTCCCACTCCTGGTAGATTCTAACAGAGATCCTAAAGCAATTCAAGATAGCTAACATGAGCAGAGACCAGCTTATTTTAGAAGTAGAGGGTAAAATATCAGCTGTGAGGTATCTTTTTTAAAAATCAACGAATCACTCACAGTCGATTGTTACAAGGGAGAAGATCCAAAATTAACTAGTTTACATTAAAAGGGGGGGCAATTTTATGGAAAAGCTAAGATGGAGGGGCACTAAGATATCTGGAGCCCATACTGGAACACTATCTTAAGTCTTTTTCTTTGGTTTTCATCATGATTTCCAACTCTCAGATTATATTCTCCATGAGATTAGCAATGTCTCTCTTCTGGACAAACATTTTCAATTCTCACAGCAACCGAGAGAAAAAGGGCTCCCTCCTTCATCCTTCAGGTGAGAAAACTCGTGTGGCAGGACTCCTATTGGCTTGGCCACTTCTTATAACAATCACTGTAACCAGAAAGGAGGTAATATAACTGGCCTTGCCTGAGTCTCATGACCATCACCAAAGTCAAAGAGGCTGATTCTTTTGGAGAGGAAGGTGGAAAGGGGTCTGGCCAGACAAAACAATGGAGCCCAGAACATGCCTCCTATTCCCACCTATATACCAAAGACATTGGCTTTGAAGATTAGAGGAAAATCTAAATCAAGATAAGCCAAAACAATGATGAAGAATTCGCAGTTCTCAGAATTCTGATCTGGTGGCTGGTATTCAAGCAAAGAAGCTCTGTTTCTTGTTGTGTTGGTTAGCGGGACATAAAGAACAGAAAATCTCAGGCTGAGTCTAAAAATCCCCAGGAATTAGCTGATAACATGTTAGGGAATTTCTACTCCAGGCCTGTTGCTACCAAGACTGGAATCTCAAGCTGTAGAGCTAAACATAAATTAGCTCAGGACCTCCATTTCTGGTTCCCTAAAGTGGTTTTTGTTAATCCTCATCCAGAGAAGATGCGATTGCAATTTGTATGGAGAGCACTCAAACAGGAACTCTAATGATTTAGGGCCAGACATCAGTTTTCTCAAAACGGGGTTCACATGTAGATGTCTAAATTCTCTAGGAGGAAAAAATTGATTTTGGATGTAATTTAAGTGATGTAATCTTTAAAGAATTAACATAAAATACTGATCATCAACCTTTAACTAAATTTTGCCACATGATTTAAAAGAATGAATTCGTATAAGAAAATAAGTAGAGGACACATTTGTACCCAGAGAATGAATAAGTATCAGCCCAAATTCATTAAAGTTAGAAGAGATAAAAGCGATGAAAGAAATAATGGTAATATTAGCAAGCAAGAACAGTCAGTACAAGTCACATGTGTGAAGAACAATTTAATCTTAGAAAATGTCATCCATCACATTAAATTAATATTATTAAGTTTAAGCATATTCATTTCACTGTATTGTTTGCATATAAATGAAAATTTTGTTTTGACTTGTACTTGAAAGTAGTTATAAGTACAGAGTCCCAAAATGTTTGAATATTAAAGTGACATAATAAAAAAGGAATTGCTCAACACCGAGAAGCCACAGAGGAGGATTTTTAAGTTGTACATTTGTAGAGGAGTGACTAGTATACCCCCAAAATTTATGTTCATTCATGAAACTCAGAATGTGGTCTCATTTGAAAACAGGAGATCCTTACAGATGTAATTAGTTGAGGATCTCAAGGTGAAATCATCCTGGATTTAAGGGTGGACCCATGTTCTTGTAAGGAGAGAGGACATACAAACCACAGAAGAAGAAGGCCACGTGAAGACCAGGCAGAGATTAGAGTGAAGTAGCCACAATTCAAGGAACACCAAGGAATTCCTAGAGCCATCAGAAGCTAGGGAAAGTCAAACAGGGAAATCCCCCTAAACCTCTGGAGGGAGCATGTTCCCTCCCATGCCTTGCTTTTAGACTTCTAGCCTCAAAAATGGTAAGAATAAATTCCTGTTGTTTTAAGTCACCCAGTTTGTGGTCATTTGTTACCAGACCTCTGGCCTTGCCGCATTTTCTAAGAAGGGCACCAAAGTCTTATAGGTTACTATAAAAGCAGAGCAGGGTTTGAGGTCAATACTCTTCCAGTCGAGAAAAGTCTTCTGTTTACCCCAGTGGATCAGACATGTCTTATATTTAAGTGTACAAGCATGTGAAAAGTGTTTGGAATCTCCAGGGATTACTTGTTTGCAAGAATAGTGTCACATAGATCTATGGGTTCTTACAGGGTTCCCCCTTTTGGCATTCAGAAAGTGGCCAAATCAATGCAAAGGATGCAGCAATTATCAGACACAGGGCACAACTGAGGTGGGGCTTTACATGTGTTGCCTTCTGTCTTAGTCTAATCGAGCTGCTATAATAAATTACCATAAACTAACTAGCCTATGAACAACAGAAATTTATTTCTTACAAGAACAGGGCACCTGCTGATTCAGTGTCTGCTGAGAGCCTGCTTTCTCATAGAAGTTGCCCTTTCACTTAGTCCTCATCTGACAGAAGGGAAGGGGAAAGACATCTCTCTGGAGCTTCTTTTACAAGGACACTAATTCCGTTGATGAGGACTTCACCCTCATGACCTAATCACCTCTTGAAGTCTCTACCTTCCAATACCCTCACTTTGGTGATTAGGTTTTAATATATGAATCTAGGAAGGACATATTCAGTCCATAGTGCATCTCAAGATCCTCACAATGTTCCCTGTCTTCTAAAGGTGCAATTTCATGGAGATCCAGGTGCTAAACAGTAGGTTTGGATGTCAAGGATAAGACAATGGGTACAGACATGGAGAGGAAATCCCTAGAAGCCACAGTCAGCTGGGAAGAGTTGGAAACCTTCTTCTTTATAAAGAGCAATGGTTCAGCCACTAGGGAGGAAGAGGGTCCCATGAACTCTCAACACTAGCTGTGTCAGTGGAGCTATGGAAGTCTTGAGCTCAGAAAGCAAGCACTTCCTCTTGGCAGGGACATGTATTCTACATGCTTAACTTTGTGAAGATGCTCTCTGGGCGCAGAGTCACCATCTCTCCTCTCGATGATGAAAGCATCCTAGTAAGAATTAGATGGGGTAAGGACCCTGAGGCTGAGAAGAAGCAGGGAAAGCATGGAGATATATGGAGGTCTCAGTCTGAAACTTTGGCTGATAGGTAACTGGGCTTCCTGAACCATTCCCTGAACCATTCCTTGGCTTTCAAAACAATGTAATAGCTCAATTCACAGCACCAAGGGATAACTCATGTGGGTCTTTCGCTCTCATGACATTCTCTAACCTTCACCATCAAAGTCATCCCAGAACAATCTAAGTGAAAATTAGATTCTGGTTACGCAAAAAGTATGTTCAAGACAAACTCCCAGGTTCTCCTTCCCAACCGAGTTGTCACACCCAAGCCACATATAGAAGCTCTGGTGCTGTTACTGGTGCCTCTAATTCTAATCACACCTCTACTTCCATCATGGCTTCAAACCTGGAAATTGCTCTGATTTCCTTCCATTGGTAGAGCCTGAGAAGCCTCAGTTTTCCAGAAGTGGGTATGTGCTTCTCAGGCCAGGTCCCATATATGATGTGACATGCCCCAGCACAATATCTGGACAGCTGTGTGTCTACCCAGAGGTGCTAGGATAGACTGGTGACTGTAATTAGTGACAGTAACTTGCATTCTGCCCCCAGATGCTTTGTAGGCTCCACATGGGAATTAACTCTTTAGGCAGCAATACTCAGAGGCCTTCCTGGAACAAAATCGGACCCTCTGGTGATTCCATTTCTGATCCTGCACCACCATTGGGCCTCAAGTGTCATGACTGAATGTCCCTTTCTTCTGTTCTTTGGCATGTACAGGTGACATAGCATGCCACATGGTAGCATTCTAGAGATGAGAAAAACAACAGTTCAGAGTATTCTGCAAGCCCCAAATTATAGGGGTCTGTTGTGATTTTTGAAATGTTTGCAAAATTCTTTGGCACTCTTCCCATCAAATGATAGAGTTATGTCTCTTGCTTTTGAACTTGGTTGAGCTTTTGTGCTGGCTTGAAGGACAGAATGTGGTAGAGTGATGGTGTGAGATTTCCAAGTGAAATCAGAGAAAGCATATGGCTGCTACTGGCTCCTTCAAGGATGATTATTCTGGGGGGAAAAAGTCCTCTTCCATGTAACAATCTAGCTATGCTAAGAAGGAGCACATGGGGAGAATATATAGATGGAGTCCTAAGGAATCCAAGGTGTTCCTCTCCCCAGAATCTTGAGTCTCTCCAGTTCAAGCACCAAAAGTTTTCAAGATGAGCTCAATCTTGAAACCTCCTAAGAGACCCCCAATTGAGCTCAGCTAAGCTGCTTCCTAATTCCCAACCCCCTGAAACCATGAGAGACAACAAATACACACTTGTGATTTTATGCCTCTGCTTTGGGTGATTTGTTATGCAACATTCCACCAGCAGACCAGAGCCCAAGAATAACAAGCTGCTTAAGAGAGCCCAAGAGATTCTTGGAACTACCTCTCTGAAGAAAGGCATAGCGGTGGGTGAAAGATCCTGAAGTTGCTGAAGCTAGTGGCATCTCTGCTTGTCAGGCAGCCTGTCTGTCTTCACCAGGGTGAAACTAGCAATGTGAACGCCTGCCTCGAGACCACTATCATTTACTCATGCAGTAACATGGATCAGAACAGTGGTGATAACAATTTGTCCCCAGTTGGCAGGGCAAAAGCAGTGACTTTGAGAGCTTAAGTGGGAAATGACAAAAATGTCATTCTATCTTGGCAGTAGCAGAGAGGGTAGTGAGTTGCGGAGGAGTAGGAGCTGGCCCAGCAATCAGTGTCCAATCTGGGTTTTGGTGAGCCTGAAGCAGTACAGTTTTAAGTTCACTTTCAAGTCCAAACTCCCTTCTGCACTTTGCTGAGTGTGGCTGGCATTTCTAGTTTTCCAGCTGGATCCCTGTGAGGCCCTCCAGGGGTGGTAGAGGGAGCCTGCAAGACTGGAAGAGGAAGAGAGGACTTGCTGCTCCCCATTCCTCTGGTGGCACCCGAGCAAAGCTTCCTCACCAAGGCAGAGGACCATCTTCCCACAGCTGTAACGATTACTTTTCAGTTTTGTCCCATAGATAAAGCTACCTCCTTAGAGACATCAGCCT